AAGCATCGAGTCAGTCCGTCGTCGACGTACATGAAGCCGGCTGCCGTACCGCACGGCAGCCAGGGTTTCAAGATATTTGTCGCACAGTTCTGGACTGCTCGCGCATAGCATACGAACCAGAACCCGCTTGAGTTGAGCCCGAAGGGCAACGAACAGTTTTCGAAGTAGGAGGCAACGCCGCTGCTGTCCTCGTGGCAGAAGGATAGGTGCCGTCTCTCCTCGGGATGGATCTTCAGGAAGCGGTACGCACTCTCCATGTCCAGCTCGAAGAGGAGCCACTTACTCACGGGGTATTTCTGCTGCAGCTCACCCACCAATCTCCGAGTACAGGTCGTGGACGGGAGCTTATTGGAGTTCGGAACTTTGGCCCGGAGATTTATGTTACCCCGGAGGTAGTCATCGATCACTCTCACCCCACCATCTTTCTTTGGGATGGCTCCTCGAGGGACGAAGCTCCGGCTGCGGTCAAGGGTATCCCCCTCGTTCAGTTTCCTGATGAAGCCTTGGGCCTCCTCCTTGCGCAACGTCTCCTCGACGGCATCGATGACAGTAGGGTCTCTCATGGATGAGTAGTTCTTGAAGCCGTCGCCGATTGTTTTGGTCGGGAAAGGGGAGTGCATTTTCTTGTTGTATCAGGGGAAGATGGGACACGGGGCGATCTCTCGCGAAATGCCAATTGGCAGGCTCTCTTCGCAGAGATTCCCGATGTCATGGTCGTCGACGCCTAACCTTTCCACCAGGATGCTGAGCAGCTTCCCATCGACGGAGTTGGCCGGTCCTGGCGTCGCGATCGGGAGGTTCAGTGAGCGCTTGAGTTCCTCCCTTGCCTTTGCTGCCGCAGTCTCAGCCAAGGCTCCCAGGGTGGAGACCTGTCCTTCGGTGGGCCTTCCCTCAACGGCACGGAGGGCGTCTGAGAAGCCCGAAGACTGCCCTACCTTCCACAGAATGGCGGCCACTCTGCGGCCAAAGGTCTGATGAGCGTCTGAGAGGGGTTTCCCCGCGTCGGGTAATTGACAGCCGCCTCCATCCTGGAAGTGCTCGTCGTCGAATATGTCCGTATTGATGGTCTTTGTGGCCTCCGCCTGGAGGTCTTAAAGGGCTTTACCGAAATCATGGTCACTGCCGGCTTGGGCTTTGGTTGCGTGCGTGCGAAGGCGCTTTTGGGTGGGTGCCGCGCTGGCACCTGAGGGGGAGGACTTTTAATCCGAAGAGATCGGTCGGGTACTATTGCTCAACGCCTCGACGAGTTCAAGAGACAACGCTTTGTCGAGTACTACGACTTGTCCGTGGACGCCCAACACAAGGTCGATAGTCGACCGCGCCGCACGGATATCACACACGATGATGAGGCGAGGAGAAAAAAGAAGGATAACTTAGGCCGGAGCCCACTGCGAGCACGCTGACTATGCCACGGCAGGGGCTGGGCACTCTCCTACTTACTGGAGGTTTGGTTCTGGGTGTTGCCGCCACGGCCGCGGCCGTGCTGCCGACGAGCGTCGTGGCCTTTCCCGCCGGTTTTGTGGGCGAAGATGCAATCGTCTCCATAAGG